TATTTAACAAATTTTCGATTTACTTCGTAATACGCGAATATCGGATAAATGTATATCAGACGTTTCTTCGTATCTTTCATTGCGTATGTGCTTGAAATCAGGTTCTCCGGGCGTTCTCGTCCTGTCAGTCGACGATCCGCGCAATAACGAGGAGAATAGTTCGCGATTTTTCTCCCGTCCGAGAATCTCGAACGAACTTGCTCCCGCTGAAACGCGTTCTGTCAACGGATGCAGCGCGGTTACTCTAGTCTTTGGAAAAATGCGGTAGCGCGCGAAACACCGGTATGACAACTAGTTCTCGGGATCACGGGTGAAGAAAACACGGGGGGATGAGCGCGGAGCGCGAAGGAAGTGCGAGTAAGGGGGAAAGAAAGAGCGGTGGCACGCATGTGAATGCACTTGTCGACTGCATGCTCGAGTATAAGAGTATACGGTGAACCTGTTGCGTCTCGGGCGTATAGCCACACTGCAGAATGCACTTCCACTTATGTGCCCTCGCTCGATGCACATATGTTCCTGGACGGTCGGCCGGTCGTTCCTCGTTCATCGGCAACTCATCGCCTTGCGCGGCGGAAAATGGGCACTTTACATCGGTATACCGGAAAATTAGTACAATTATGCGAGAACTAAGTAACATGCTCGAATCGTACAAATGAGTAAAATAAAAGGAAGCAGTGCAGACGGCAGAATAAATTTTACAGATGAAAGGAGAAAAACTTTCTAGTTCTCGATATTTCTTTATTTGCGCTTGACCACAAACGCAATATTATTGCAAAGTAAAGCAACGATGATTTGGTAGCAATTGTAACTTTAAAATATTTTTTTTTCTAATATTCTAATTTCTAAATTCGATTTATATTTTATAAAATTGACAAAAAATATTATTTTTTAAATTATAGTCTATTCGACCAAGTCACTGTTTCGTTCTGCAATTTGTAAAATTGTTGATATTCATGTTTTAATGGAATTTATCACCATGAGAATCGTAAAAGAGTCAAAAGATCAGTGGCATTAAAATCTTGATTTTCCTTGCGATTGCCGACGCCGTACGAGTTTCTCGGATCTACGATCCAACGTCGGCGGTACCGGCGTCGTTGGAATTTGCATGATTAGTAAGTGATGCGCTGGGTTGCTGACGAAGGATGCACCTGGCATTCACTACGCTGCCGCTCACGCGAATATATCATCAGTGATGGGCGAAGGGCTTGACTCTCGCAACAGCCGTGGGCACTTTCTCGGTGAGAAACACGAGGTTCTCGCAGGATCGTGAATTTGCATTTTGTTCAAATTTTTTTTTTCAAGACTGAAAATAATTGAACCTAAATTTTATCGCCAAAAGATGATTAAATCGATCTCAGAATATATTAGATAATTAAGAGATTCAATAATTTAACTTTTGACTTTTTACACTATCTATGGGTGTGCAACTGTATTATAATTTCTCAGATTGTAGGAAACGCGAAAATTACAAAATACATATTGTTGTACTTTCGACGATAAAAACATTCGATCGACCTCATTGTTGTTTACCTTTTATTTCCATATAATTGATCTAATTACATGACACAACTTCTTTCGGATAAAGAAGAGCGGAGGCAACGAGGCAGCAGCATTAGATAACGCATTATACGCGCGACTGGCAAAAGCGACCGCGAAAACCGCAGCGGCTATTAAAGCTCGTTCGAAAAAGATACACGAACGGGGCCGATGTGCGCAGCGCGAGCGATAAAAAAAGGGAAATCTAGAGTGAGACGAGTCTTATCACTTCAGATTGCTCTGGGTAATAAAAGGAACGTCAGGTTGGCGTAATGGCCGCGAGCGTATGCGCTCGCTAGCATCATAAATTCATGACGCGCGCGTTTCCCGCGGAACGTTAAGTAGCAACTTCATCCAGCGCGCGGCGGTCAGTACTTATTCGATCGATCCTGTGGAAGGACACGCTGGTTGCATTCGCCTAGCCGCAAAACCGTTGTCCTTAACATACTAACATGGTTCCATAATTTCTTTTGCGTGGCGTGGCGCGAAGACGCATGCACAACGACGACGACGACGACGACGACGACGACGACGACGAAGACGACGACGACGACGACGACGACGAAGACGACGACGACGACGACGACGACGAAGACGACGACGACGACGACGACGAAGACGATGATAACGATATGTAATTACACCCGTAAATCGATTCGCTCTAATTAAGGTCTTTTTGTTTTTCTTTTGCAGGTACGTTGACCGAATGTTGTTACTGCGCAGCGCAACGGCGCTGGGAGCGTGAGAAGACCGATCGCCGGAAGTGCGGTATGATGCATTCATGCTAGTCGCCCTTGCGCGGCTCGAGTAAACACTTGAGCTTGGTGCCTGGCATTTTTAAATCATTTTTAATAATTTTTAATCATTCTTATCATTCTTATCATTTTTAATCATTTTTGCATTGATTCTAAAACCGACAAAATTTAATCTATTGAAATTTATCAGCGACCTTTATTGCGATAAGTAAAAAATAATTGTTGAAGCACATTTGACTCAGAAAATTAAGTTTTGTCTAGCTGAATTGAAGTTTGGAACATTCCTGGAGCGATTTTTTAAAAATAATTTGTCTCATTTCTTTGCACAGAGGAAGTTCTAAGTGCCACTCACGAAATACAAAATAGACCGATCCGATACACTTTGCGGAAGACACTTTTATACTCAACTTTCTCTCAGATTATTTAAAACATTCTCTTTTTGTCAAAAATGGTTCGTTCGATTTCTGTTGTTGCACAGAAAAAATAATCTAGGAACTGTGTTAAGTATAAATGTGTTTTCCACAGTGTGTATCGAATCGGTTTATTTTGTATTTTGTGTATTGCATTTAGCAGTTGCTCTATGCAAAAGGAGAAATAGAACAAATTATTTTTAAAAAATCGTTTTAGGAACATTTCAAAAACATCAATCAACTGCTTATAAAATATCTATTTAATATTAGAAACATTACACATAGTAAAAATTTTTGTTCTAATTTGATGATAATAATTAGTGGATTATTATAAAAATTATAGTTTTTATTTTCATAGTGTAACGTGACGATATAATATCGACATCTATGTCGAGCACGTCACAAGACACAATCAAATTAATTAAAACAAATCCTTATCTTTTACGCGAATTACTATATTTTATAATACAATTCCAATCACATAAATTATGGATAGTCAAATAATTAATAAGAAATTAATAAGAAAGAAGAAAGATAATAATTAATCTATTGGGCTTATACTATATCGCATTTAAGGAACCGGCGTTGTCAATTATATCTGCGTTATTCTTAATTAGTATTTCTAAACAGTTCTCGGATACGCACAATTAAGAGAGTGAGAGATAGGAAGATATATATATATATATACTTATATATTGAAGTTCTTTTCGGACTTATATTGAGGCATTATCGGACTTCTTCAGAGAGTTAGTTCTGGACTTTTCTCTTTATAATCATTTGCATCTCAACTTGTTTGCTTTTGGTGCGTATTCACTCGCCCTCAAGCCTTAAGGCTCAAGATATTAGATGATCCTGCTCTTCGATGGCAGAATTAAAGGCCCTATAATCTAATGTGTTTAATGGCGATTAATTACTTCGATTGCCTCGAATTGTCCTAACTTCTTCACCAGGTCCCGACTCTAGCCTGACTGTCCATTGCTGTTTATTTCCCAGAATTTCGCCATTTCTCTTTCTCCTCTCTTATTCCTTTTTCATATCCTTGTTACCTTCTATTCGTCCACCATCTTATGCTTCTCATTACTACAATATTTTCATTATTACATTACAATAGGATTAATAAAGAATTTCCAAAACTTATATAGCACAATTAGTTTATTCGTGTTGACCATTTTATAAAAATTTAATTAATATAGTTGTACGTTTTACACGATTTTCGTACAAAAAAGTATTATATTTTGCAGAAAAAAGTGATTAAATCAATAAAATAATTTTAAACACATAAAAATTTATAAAATTATTTAAAGATAAATAAATTTTTAGAATAGATTAAAATCACAATTAAAATACGAATAATTTAACAAGATAATGAAAATTATTAGTATCTAAAATTGTCACAGTAATTTATCACTTTTATTAATGTTAAATACCATAAAACTTTATCGTAGAATGTTTCTTTTATTGAATGTATTAAATATTATAGTTTTAGTTTTTATTTTATATTTTATATTATTTTATGAATTTAATTGTAAAAAAGGATTGAAATGAAGTACATCGATGTTCTAGAACCAAACGCATGAGGTTCTTGAATAAAAAAATCAAGGTATTCAAACTTTAATAAAAATTTTTATTATACAGTGCGCCCTACACATACACAAATTTAAATTTAGAGATTTTGCACAAAATGACTTTAATTTTTTTATCTCATTAACAGGCACCTTCTGTGATAGCTGCATAAAATTTTTATAAACAAATTGCTTTTAATAATAAATATTTTTGATTGAAGTAAATGTCAAACTTTAATTTGGTAAATCTATTTTATACAAAGTAAAATTAAAAATTTATTTATATTACAACTATTTAAGTTTGTTTACTTAATAAAAATATTTATTATTGAATGATTTTTTAAATTTATATAGATGTTACTTACAATTTTAATAGTAATGTATGCGTTAATCTCGTTTTAATCTAATTATGATTGTTTAAATTTTTCAAATTTTTATGCAAAAATTATGAATAGATTAAAAATTAAGAATATATTCTCATTTTTATAAAATATAAAATGAGATAATATTCTCATTTTTTGTAAAAAAACATATCTATAAAAATTTAAAAATCATAAAAAGTTTTTAGCAAAACTTTAGCAGTGAGAAAATTATGCCGAAATTAACATTGCGAAATTAACACGTTTCATGTTAAAAAAACTTAATTAAGTAAAAAAGTAGTCACATTTGTATATTTAATTTATGAATTGGAGTTAATATTGTTTTTAATGAGAATAAATTTTAAAATTAGTTAGAAATTATTTAAAAGTTGGATTATCAGAAAATTACTCAATATTTTCTATTCAGGACTGTAAGAAAATTTTGCTACAACTATAGTATTATCATGTACAAGGTACAATATTTTGGAAACTTTAGCAATCAGAAAATAATGCTAAAATTAACATTTTATAATGTTAACACTAAATGAAATTATCCATTTAATAAAAAGTCAGAGAATCATCAATATTATTACACCTCGGTCATTATTATTTTCGTTCTGAAAAATAAATTAATCGTAATTTCTGAAAACAATTCGTTTATGAATTTAGATAATGTCTTAATGATATGATAAGCTCTTCACGTGCGTGTATGTGTGTGCACGCGCGCGCTAATACTGTGCTTAATTATTCTATGATCAACTTGTTTTATAATATACAAGATAATTCAGTAATTATTTTCATGTTAACTCTATTTTACATTAAAAAGCTTAATTGAGTTCGTTATTTTACAAGACGTACGATAATAGTTTCAGAATTAATAAAATTATGAAATAAATTTCAATTGATAAAATTGCAATCAGAATAAGAATTAATAACTTCAGTATATTAATAAAAAATGTTAATTTTAACTGTATTTTTCTCGGAGTCTACAAAAGCCGTGGCCATATTAGCAGCTAAAATTGTCACACTGAACAAATAATCTCATATTTAATAATACTAATAATAGACAGATATAAAAAGTTTATCCTACTGTTATATTGACGATGTTGAGTAATCGATGTTAGATTCATGCAATTTTTTTTATTTGCATTACGTTGAAAATTTGTCAAAATATATTGTTTTACACATAATTTGGGTCAAAATATATTGCAATAAATGCACTGTCTGGATCGATATAAGTTTTCAGTCAAATTGAATATAGCTTTCCATTCATTTTAAGAGTGTCACAAATAAATGAAATTATTTATGTTAAAGTAACATTAATAAAGAGTCACAGAATTATTCATAATGACGTATCACCCCAATTACTATGATATTATTCTCATTTTCAGCCTGTAAAAAGTCAATAAATCATAATTTTCGAAAACAATATTTTTAATACATAGAAACGCATCGGAATTAAAATAGGGCTTCGAACTAACTCTTTTTTCAAGTTATAATTTTAGTGGTCTTTTTAACATGGAAGTATATTCCAGAAATATATGATGTTAAATTTTATACACTTCGTTATCGTATCGCGATCAAGTCTATTTCGTGCGAGAGCAGTTTTTTTGTTTATTTGTCCATATTTTTGATAAACAGATTTTAATATTGGCGACGATTCTAAGTCGTCTTTTAGATTTATGTTATTAGATAACTGACTATTGTTCCTATAATATTCTCTCGTGTTATAAAGATCATGAAATTACTTATAATAATGATTTGCACAAAGTAGGTTGAATAAAAGGCTAATTCGATGTTTTTTTTTAGACCGATTTCATACATAGCAAACAATTAACGGCGAATAAACTGCAGCGCGGTGTTTCCCGTAGAACTATAAAATGCCATTAATTTTCTCGGATTTTGGCGCCATTCCGAATACGATTTTTAAATCTCGGAAATGACGCTATTAAAGAAAAAAATAGATTGCATATAATAATCTATTTTTTGTAATACAATAGATTAAAAAATATCGAGAATGTTAATAGTTATTGGATTACCCTATGTATTCCACTACTTATATTTTACTCCACTGCATATTTTACTTACATTGTCCGCAAGTGTAGCGCCGTGAGGCTGTTCGTTTTCGTGTCGTCTGTTTTCAGGAATTGGAGGTAGCATTAACATTTCTCGAAGTCTCATATTGAAGATAGCAATTCTACGTTTATAATTATTATGAATTATTTTCATTGTAATGAAGCGTAATAAATCATTTATATGCATTTTTTTACATATATGCATAAATCTGTTAAATTAAAGCTACTATGATGTAGCAAAGGTTTAAATAATTAGCACAGAAAAGGACTGTTAGCTTTGCTATCGAGAGAAAAAGCCAATAAACATTTGAAATTTAATTTTAATTCGTGTACTTTGAAAAGATTAATGCAGTTTTCAGCATAACGAGATAATTTCTAGAAATTTTACTAAAATTATTATGTTGTATTTTTATTTATAAAGTTATTTGTATATATATAAATGTGTACATCAACTTACCTACGCAAATATATATAGTGATATATACGTGAGACAATTATGACTATAAGTTTTATTATTGCGGGGATTAATAGTTCTAATGAACCGAATTTAATGTTATTTTTAATATATTCATCGTATGTTTCATTTTTTATATTGTTTGCCTCATTTACCAGCATAATAGCTGAAAAAATAAATTTAATTAATAATCAATAATATTTATAATTAGTATATAAAGTTCGTTAATAACACAAATTTCTTCTGGATTAATATATATTGGAAGTGATAAAATATTACTATCAGAGAGAATCCTCTTTGCTTGATAAAAAAATTAGATTATTGTTTCAACAAAATGAGCTGCTAAATTATTAAAATGTATTTTTATTAAATTTTTTTCCAATTAAGTCTATTAATATTTAAAGTTAATATTAATGAATCATTTAGAAAGGAATTTGAGTAATTAAGAAATCGACATTTTGAATGGAAATGCAGAAAACAATACAACAAAGATAACAATGTAGATATTATGTTTCACAATATGTTTTAAAATATGTGACATAAAAAAAATAATCAATGGATAATTCGTTTAGGTATAATATAAACACACATATAATACACACAATCATGTCATTACCAGAAATTGAAAGCATGCAGGTGACAGTCCAGAATACTTGCATTATAACATTCATTGTGAGACCTTATGTAGTCTTTTTCTTCTAAAAAATAAAAAATTTAGGTTACAATTTTTTAAATTTATTTATTTATACTTAAGTTTATTATTATTGCAATGCTTTCTTCATTGTTTGAAATTAATGATGTAGATATGTTAAATTTATGCAAAATAATAAAAGAAATTAATTTTTGTTTTATTACAAGAAAGAATTATTTTAATTAGTAATATGTATTAGTAACATTTTTCACATTAAACTTTATACACTAAATTTAATTATTCAATAACAAGATAAATGTGAAATAGTTTCATATAAATTCGTTACACATGTGATCCACAATTAATATTGTGCACAAAATAAAACAGTACATTTACTTTCTAAGCAAAGTAACCGTACATTTATCTAGCAAAAGATAATTGGTTCCAGTACTAATCTTATTAATAATATATGTTTGTCAAATTTTATACACAAAGTGACATGATATTTTTTAACATCACTTAATTTGAAATGATATGTAATAGTTATCGCATAAATGATTGTTGATGTCGATAAAGACTGAAAGAAAAGTATAAAATTCTAAAGAGATTCGACAGAATATGTATGTTATCATATTGGCAAAGATGCGATATAAATTTATCAATTAATATTAAAATATTTAAATATTAAAAACTTTTCACATAAATTAATAATATTCCACATAAAACCTTAATTAATTTAATATTACTAGTATTAGCATTATAATATCACTATGTTCATCTTACCAATTCCAAACTTTCCAACGTCTGTGTTTTCTGAACGACACCGTTACAATGAGAAGCAATTGGCTTTTACGTACACACATATAATACTTGACTTTGATTTGTCTACTCGCATCAATCTTATTGGCTTTGGCCACAAATATGTATGTTTATCCTTAGACGTTCATGATTTTCATCATATCACATCATGATGAAATATTCATAAAATTGCAAATTTGAATATTTTTATTTTTGACGTTATTTAAACTTCGCGAGTACAGCCGTAATAAAATTTTTTGAAACGCGTGATGTAGCGATATTACGCAGCTTTTTTTACTGCGAGAGCATGTTACTTTCAAAAGATTCTATTGATCGAGTGGCTTAATTGATTCTCTTTGCATCCATTATGCGTAATTACTCTCGTCACGCCCTTCTTGGTTTTATTATTTTCTCTTCGTTTGTCGAGCGTTGTTCTTACAATTGAGTCGTCGGAATTAATTCTTTTCATATTTATTACATTGTCTCGTTATATAAAATTTTATATATTATTTAGTGTGTGTAAAAAAATGGATTACGATCTCGGAGTAAGTACATTATAGCTTACATATTGATACCAGGTGCAAAGATATAAAATTCGATTTTTAGTTTTAGGACAAAAATTCTACGAATCAAATTAGTATCACATTGCGACACGAAAATAGATGAAAGTTATTTCCGACAATCGATCCTGTGCGAACGATTTGTTACGCAAGTCGACGCGATATATTCTTCCGTTTCAACGTTCGGCCTTAATGCACCCGACGTCATGCGTATTTTTAACGTCAAAAGGCTGTCGCGACTTTGAGATCTCGAGTGCAATTAATCGCCTAATTAGGCAACAATAGCGGGCATTGTTATGAACTGTCGCATCTCGACGATCGGCGACGTATCGCAGGTGAAAACGCAGCGTGCGGTGGCCTTGCGTCTGGTTGCGACAATCCGGCGACTGCCGGCTCTGCGGATGCTATTCGTAACCGTATTATCTCATTACTCCATTAGGCAACGATCCGTCTGAGCGCAAGCAATGTTTATAATTAAGCGTCTTGTGACTCCGAGTGTCGCAAAGGGAGATCGTTTCCCGTTGCCGCGCGGATAGACATTATCCTCTTCCTTTAATCGTCGAAGTCGACCTCTAATAACGAAGTACTTTCGTTGACGCCCTCTTGGTTATTCCCGTCAATCGAACGCTTGGGAAATCGCGCCATCATCCTCGATGACGACGGGCTATTATAACAATGATCCTTTCTTCCAATCTTGTTAAACGTTTTGTGTTCTTTGTATTAAACAAGCGAAACGTAAAGTGAGACAGCCAATTTGTGAGCTCATTGAAAAAAATATTTACTAACAAAAAGAATTTAAAAATCAAAAGGATGAAAAAGATTAGCAGCTAAATTTTTTATTTTTTATTTAATACTATGAGACAAATATATAAAAGTTTAAGATTTTATTGCAGCTGGTACAAAGTTCTAATATCAATCGTCAATGTGCTTCTTATGATTGCTATAATCGCATGACTTATGCAACGATGAAAAATCTGCGCTCTGAATAGTGTTAACGATTATGTTTCTGCCGGGTGTTATTTTAACGCGACACTTGTTAGATTACGTCGGTAGCATGCTATTTCCTTGACCATTAAAGCTCATCCGCGGCTTTCACCGGATCGTTGCTCTTGCATACTACATAAGATGACGCGTTGTCGCATCGTGAATGCACCACGCTCGCGTTTGTATTTGATAACGAGCCGTGCAACTGTCGTGTGAATCGAAGGAACTTTCTTCTTTTGTAAAAGATACCTTGTGTATTTATAGCAAAACTTGCGCGTAACATATTCTACGTGAATGTTATGTGTATAACTGATGTTTGAGAATATTTGCTGCTTGTTATGCTGCGGTTATGATTTTAGGAAGGTAAAGTTACTTGGAGAATATTTTGTTCTTTTGTGATATAAAATTTACTGCAATTGATAAAAGCACGAAAAATAAAAATTTGTAAGGATATTTTGAGGACTGATACAATTGTAAAATGTAATAATATAATAAATTAAAAATATTAATATAATATATATACTGATATAATTTTAA